TGCACCAGAGTGAATAGATGGGAAAGAGGAGGAGGATGAAGGCTTGTTGCTTAGAGAGTAGTGTATATCTGAGCTCTCCACCTACCCAGGGCATAGGACTGCTGCATGATCCCACTGAAAATCCCTTGTGGAAAAAGATCTCATCTAACAGAGAGAGGAAGGATAGTGTTTCTACAAGATGACGACTGTGCGTCTCCCTAAGGTGTTTTTTGCATGGTACAGCAGAAAACCCAGCGTGCCAGAGGGGCTATGGAAGCCTGTGCCAGACTGCCATGAATTATGGATGAGATGTCTGCTGCTAGCACAGACACAAACAGCAAACTGTAGAGCTCCTGGGTGCCTTGAGTCTCAGTGTTACAGTAATAGACTGTTTTTAGAATCCACTAGCAGCTCAGCAGCCTGCTCTGATCTCTTAATGTCTTTAGAAGTTACAGGTGCTGCTCATTTCTGTGGTTAGGACAGAGCGAGAAGGCCACTAATAATAAGTACTGTAACTGGGAAGTTATAAATTTTGTCCAAGTCTTTATTCATTTGTTTTCAGTGAGAATAATTTAATGTACTTGAATTCAGTTTGTCATCTTTCACCTGAACACTGCTGGGGTTTTCTAAAATAAGTGTGTGCTAGTCTGGCCATAGTGGTTTCTTTGTTATTTTAAATTTTGTTATTTCTGCAAGGGATCGTGTTGTCTTTTGCTTCAGCTGTGTAATTTTTAATTTGTTCAGTATTAAGATAAGCCATTGTCCCAGACAACCCTGAATAGTCCGTGTGCCCTTTGTACATAGCAAGCAAGGTGAGATAAATAGAGTGTAAAATATCTTGAGCTAGCTGCTGGGACATGCAGCCTGGTCTTGGCAGACCAGTTGTGTTGGGCTTCTATCAGATGCTGTAAACAGATGCCTCCTTTAAGGAGCTTGGTGTTTTTTACCCTCAGCTATATGCAGAACAAAGGATTGGAATAATGACAAAGAATCTGTGATACTGCCCTTTCTGTACAGGTCAGCCAGAGTTCTGAGGGATTTAAGTCTTTAATCTTAACAAGCATAAGGAAGATTTTTGGAATAATTATATTAATAGAAGATGGATTTGCCCCTCCTCCAGTCACTGGGATTTGGTCTCATCTTTGTCTTTCAGGTTTGTTTATTCACAGCCTAAACTGTGCCACCCACAGATCTCTGCAGTTCCCAAGCCGCAGATACAGGAAGTTACATGTCTTTAACATGTAACAGCATCTATTTCAATACCACATTGTTCATTAAAACCAGGATAACTGACCTATAATTTACAACTCAGATCCTTGCCCACATGCTTACTTTGTGCTGGATGCAAAAATCCTGTTCCTACCTCAAGACTTGCAGTGTCAGTAATACAGGAGTTTGCATGGACCTCCCTTGCAGGGCAACAGAATTTAATTTACTGAGCTGTAGTCTGTCATCTTGCCCTGTTTTAGCCTTCCCTCTTCTGCTGTAGTCAGAAGTCACCCAGATTAAAAAAACACCCATCCCTTTGAATAAATCATAACCAGCAGAGGGCTGAGCCTGCCTTTAATGTCAGCAGGAAACCCCATCCTTGCTATGTGTCAGCACCTGCGCATAGGGCAAGAGGCAAGTGTTATGTGTGTAGGGGTATGTAACCCTTTTCTGTGATCCAAAGGGCCTTTTAGGGTTTTTGTCCCCTATTTGTGCCTGGAGCAAGAAAAAGCCTTTTTGGATTACTGAAACAAGACTACACACAGACTTTTTATAGCTTTACAAATAAATTTGCTGGAATGTATAGCCCAAAGTGAAGATGAATTCAAGGCCCTGAAAGCATTAGCGGCTCCAATTTCGTTCAGTTGAGTGTAGCAAGGATTGGGGTCACAAAAGGGAAGGATAATTTACAGCTCAGCAAATGGGAAAGAGAAGAACTCTTTCTGGCTGACTTGCTGGAACTCAATCCTGCAGCAAACAACCAAAGTCAGCGTTATGTCATGAGCAATTGAGGTGACACTTCTATTCTGGCAGGAAAAGGGGTGCTGGTCATGAAGAATTTGTGCTAGCTTAGCAGAGGGGACAGTTCTGGTGAAGAAAATACTCTTTTTTTTCTTTTTTTTAAATTAATTAAAGGCTTGCTCTGTAAGGATAGGTAATGCTCAAGTAAGTGTGAAGTGCCGGTAGGGAGCTGTGCAGCAGAGACAGCAATCCCTCTGGTACTGGGGATACTGGGTGCTCGGTGGAGGGACTGAAGGAGAATGCTGTAGTCATGCAGGACTTCGATCTGAGGATGGAACTCACAGCACTACAGCTGGCACCCAGTGGACGGATTTTTAATCTGGCTTCTTATATGCTCTTTGTGGAACAACAGGAATTGATCCCATGCTTCAGTCTTTGCTCTGAGCAACAACTAGTAGTTGTGACCCAAGTTACAAGCAAGCAGGGTGTGGCTCAGATATAACACACCTAAGTTTTCAGAAACCTGAATGCTGAAATGAGTGCCTTCCTATTTTTTTGCAAGGAAACCTGGAATCAGCTGTCTTAGTAGCCTTGTGGAAGGTATCCATGAGCCTGGGGAACACAGATATCCTTCTTTGAGATACTACTAAGTATCCTGCTTTTCCTTCTAAAGTAGACTTCTACTTTCACTCTGCGTTAACTGCTTTTCCTTACCATATTGCAAGTCTAATAAAACAGACCAGCATGAAGGATGCTTTAGTGTTTACTGTACACAGGCCATAAGTGTGGTTTTGAGTAAGTAGGAGCTTTTGTCATCCCTCAGTGTCCCAAATGCCTGTTACAAAACCTTGTATTTGGGATCTGTGGTTTATTCATGAGAAAAGGGAACTGACATCTAGATGAATCAAGATGCTGAAATTAAAGAGGCAGTAGGACATGGAATTTCCATTGTTTGGATTTGTGTGTTTTGTAAAGTGAGACTAGTTCTCTGATTTTGGGGGTCAGTTTATAGATGCAGCTGTTCTTTGCATGTCTAGGTGACAGACTGACTTGTTAGTTGCGTGGACATCAGTCAGTAAATAATTTTTTCCTGGTTCCTCTGTAATCAAATACACTTTTTCAAGGTGATGTTGATGGCAGCAAGATAAACTGTGCATCCTGCTTGTTAAGCAGATGGCTCCTTCTGTATGGATCCCTTCAGTGCTGTGCCAGTAAGGGATGGGGCCAGAGCGGTCATGGAACACTGGGGAGGGCCTGAAAATGATGAAGGACCTTTGTTGCAGATTTCACTGCATGCATTGATCTGCAGGTTGATAGTGAGGGACATTGCAGTATGCTTAGAGAAAGCAGACAGACTTGAGTGTTGTTTGTTGGTTTGGAGGGGGCAGGGGGAAAGGTGGTAATAGGAATGAGTGCAAGGGGCCACAGATGGCAGCTTCCCTGTTCTCCCAGGCAAGACACTGCGTAGCCGCCTGGGCAAGTTTCATGGCTAAAGCAGGACAAGAATGAAACTAAGTAGGGGATGTCAGGCAGTTTCACAGTGAAAAGAGGGCATGCCAACCTCCTTTATCAATCTAGACTCAGTATTGTATTACTCCTCCCTTGCACCACTCCCTTATCTACCTTTGTTTCATTCCTGCGAGGCCTCAGAGGGTCAGCCAGCTCCTGGAGTGGGCCCAGCTCATCTCATGAGCTGTTGCTGACCAGCAGCTGCCAGGCTAGTGCTGAAGAGCTGTCAGCCTTCTCAGCACCCCGAGATGATAATCCTGAGGTAGCGTTCTGAAAGATATCTTAATAAGCTAGCTAGCATTCAGCGTGTACATGGGTATGGTATGCTGATACACAGCGCAAAACTGACCTCGGTTTCAGCCAAGTGTTAATGATGTTTTCTTAACCGACTGTTCAGTTCTTTATGGATCTTGCTTGCTAAATATTTGATGCAGCTCTGAATTTTAAGTGATGCATGGTTTAGTTGGCTTTGGTACAGTGGTCCCTCAATAGCTCTTATGTGCATAACTGACTTGTTTGCTGCACAACAGTGGACTCAGCAGGCTGCACACTGTTCTGTGAGTGCAAAAGTCTCACACCAAGTCTTACTCCAGTTACTATGTATGTTAAGCTGTGGGGTGCCGTGCATCTCATTTTATTAAGAGCAATCTCAACTTTAGTCAGCTCACGACAGTTTTTAATCCTTCCTCAAGGTAGATTTTCTCTGAATTTGATTTACGACCTCTGCACTTAGACTTGAAATGCTGAATTAGAAAACCAGAAAAAACACTTCTAAGAAAAGGTAAGAGCATATGATAAAATGACTTCTCTATCTTCCCTTCTAGAGTAAAGCTGTTCTGTAACTCCAGGCAATTGGACATATTTGTATATTCCAGTAAATCTTACCATGAGTTGCAGCCTCAAGCAAACAACAGCAGCCACAGAATTCTCATGGTAACCTCAACTCCTGCCCTTCATGGCTCTGGAACAAGGAAATAGTTTGGATTTGCTTCAGACCTCAGAGGACAAAATGGGACCACAGGAATTTGATATTTAGGAAATACAGTGAAATGAGAAGGGCAGAAGGGGAAAAAAGTTTGAGAACCCCACATGTTCTTTATTGATGTAATTTATCTTTTAAGAAAATAGACATCATTTTTCTAATTAGCTAAATACTAGGAAATGCCCGATTTTCATTCTGAAGTAAAATTGCCTTCCTGGCTAGTTTCATCACAGCCTTCTCGGGGCTGTTCTGTTACTGTTTCCATTGGCTAACCCCAGTGGTGTTTGTGTGCAGCAGCCCTGGCACAATCTCAGTCCTGTATGCGCTATTCACTGCCACCTTTGTGAAGGAATGCCTTCTGCTGGTGACAGCATAAATGTGCTTTGTGTTTACATCTCAAAGTCACAACTTTGCTAATAATCATCTCTAATAAAACTGCAGCCTTAGGAAGCCTGTCACCTGACTAAAGCAGAATGGGCTTCTGTGGTTTTTGGCTTCCCAGGCTTCAAAAAAACCCTTAAAGCCAGTTTCCTCACTGTAAACAAAAAAACCCAAAGCAATCATAAGGCCGTAATTCCTGTTTACAGAGATAAGCCTTTATTGTATGCTATTGGAAGCAAGTGGGACATGGTTACGGTTTTATATACAGAGAAGTCTGTAGCATTGGGTTACAATCAGTGGCAAATGAACCAAGATTACAGTGCAGATCTAAGTGTTGTGTACAGTTAGTAACAGTGGCTGGCGTACAAACCACAACACAGAAGCCAAATGAAGCCAAGTGTACAGGGTACAGCATCACGTGAGGAAGCAACTGAATGTACAAAGAGCATCCATTTACTTTACATTTGCAGGCTCTTTCGGCTAGTGAGTAGATACAGCTCCATTTAAAACTCAGGGTGCAGTTATTTTTCTTCCCACTCAACTGAGACCAAATTAAGAAAATTTGAGTGTTCAGATGACATTTTTAATGCTATAAATAGCTCAGGTTGTTGCCGAATTACTCCATTTAGAGTTTCTTTATTTGCAGTTTAGGTCAGGAATAGTTTGATCATTATTGTTCTTTACAGATTACAAATTGGGAGAAATCTTAAATATCGAAAGTAGTCTGTAAGAAGATCACAAGGATCTCTTGTACTTCATTTGGAACTTTAATTCTGGGTAACTTCTTCAGAGAGCGATTTACTGGGAAGAAAGTTGGAATTGTCCACCATATTACTCATCTGTGGAATTTGTTCATAGTATTTAAGGTTTAGATAGTTAAAAGGTCATACTTCTTTTTATTCAATGCCATATCCAATCTTAGTGTAAAAATAAACGCTCTGTCCTCTGTGGATAAATAAATCCATCTGTTGGCTGCAGGTCAGACCTCTATTGGTGAAAGAGATTTAGAAAAATAGACCTTTTCTTTAATGTTTACTATGCTGACCCACAAAGGAAAAGTGAAATTCATTCAAGTCTAGAAACAGAAATACAGTACAAGTGATTTATAGAATTGCATTCCTTCCCTCTACAAACTTGCTGAGCATGAAACACTGCCCCAAAGCACTGCCTCTGTCTTTTCCTTGTCTTGTAGAAGTAATTGTCATCAGAAAAGTCACATTACACTGCACTGCCAGATTTCCTGTCTGCTGTCTAGTGTGCAGACTCTTAGCAGGCCTCTGCTTCCTGAGGATTCTTTGCTTAACAATTCTTTGGATGGATGGGTGGTGGTACTTTGGGTTATACAAGGGGGATGTTTTAGCCCAAATTAGCAGCAATTGTTTTGATCTGACATGGTGATTTTTGGTGGAAACTCAACCATTTAAGAAAAACCAACAACTTATGAGTTGGGACTTGGAAAACACCAGCCTTTCCTCAAAAACTCCACTTCTGAGACTGCTTCCCAAAGATGTCCTCATTTAAGGGGCTGGTACGTTTGGCAGTACAGGTTTCATGCTCAACTTTGTCACGAAGAATGGGACAGGACGTTAAAAAGCATACAGCCCACTGGGACTTCCTCTGCTGTAGTGTTTCAGTGCTTTTGACAGTCCCCCCACAGCAGTGTTGCTCTCTTAGAAGTGCAAGTGTCCCAGAATGGCTCTGGGACAGCTGGAGGACGGGTGACATTCTGGAGTGGAAGCAGTAGTTAAGCACCAGTTGCTGGCCCCTGCAGAGGCTTGAGAGAACAGAATTGCTTCGTAGAGAGCTTGTCGACCTAAAAAGCTTAGTCAGTTTGATCAATAAATATTGACTTAGGGTTAGGATCAGAAATAAGACACTGCACTTTGGAACTGGAAGACAGAGTAAACTTCCTCCCTTTTCTGTCCAAAAGGAGACTAGCTTTAAAACAGCTGTCCTTAAGGACCTTTGTGATGTCTGATGAATAAGTCACTAAGCGCCTGTGAATGTACCTGTCCCTTTTTCAGGGAAGAGTAAATGTATGACTGGACAAAGCTTCGAGGCTTTTTTCTGTGGTGTTTTTTTTTAAACATCTGTTCTGTGTTGTGTTGTCCCTGAAGGCCTGTTTACCCACTCTTAAATTGTGCAGCATTGCCCAGAGAATGGCTCTGTAGTTGAATATGCTCTATGCAGTACAGCCTCCATTTTCTTCCAGTATATGTATATTCCCATGCAATAGATGTTGTTAGAAAACTACACTTGTCTTTATCCTGTTATTTTGAGCAGGGAAGCAGTGATACTAGTTTGAAAACACAGGAAATAACCTGTACAGCAAATTAGAATTCTCATAATTAAATTCATATAGTCACTAACTTTTCAAAAGCTGTACTGCCCTGAATGCTGTTCTTCAGCCCACCATTATTCTGCTTTGAGCAGTATCGCTTTCTGTATGCTTATAAACAGTTCTTTGTGGAAATAATGAAAGAAGAATACTCTCCCTCCTACACTTGACTACATTTTACTTTGTTAGTTTACAGGATGCCCTTACAGAACTACAAGTTCTATTGGGAGTGCAGCAATACACACATTTCCGTATGCATAGATCATTAAATTGTAACAGTGCCAGTAGTAAAGCAAAACCTGCCAAGATGTTCAGTTCCTCTTAATTAAGCTTGATTTATATGTGCCTGTTGACTTAAGATGCAGTTAGTGTCCACTGCTGAGATGACACAGTACCCTGAGTAACTTTGTATTGATTACGCTTACACAAGCTTGTGCTTTTCTAAGAACATAGAAATGAGCACAGAGAAAATAAATAATTACACCAGGTTGTTTCCATGGAACACTGTTAAATCAACTCATAGCAGCTTCAAAGTATGAAGTTAAAACTTACCTTCTGCTCTACTCCTTTCGCAACAGATGAGTGCTATAATTAACTCCCTTCTAGCTTAAAAAAATAGAAGTGGATAGAATGTCAAAATATGCTTTTCTGATAAGATGAACCTACTTTGTCATAACTACTTACACCACTACTGGTGACCTGAAATATGTACATTACAACATGTGGTTGTGGAAGCAGTATCTGCTTTCCCTTCTTGCCATGCTGTTCTGTGTAAAAGCAAGTTGTCCAGAATAGTGTGGGCGTTGTAGAAATAAGCTACTAGTATCCCTTTAGGGGAAATTACTGTTACTCCTTTCCCTCCCAAAATTCAGTTGCGTGCTCTATACACTGCCTGCAGCAGTCTCCCTATTTTGGGTAGGGCTACATCAGGAGATAGAATTTGTTCACTGGATTTCTCCTGTTCCTCTTCCTCCTCTGGAAAACCTTCCATCCTGGACTTGTTTACTGAACAGAAAAAAATAAATTAATCTCCTGTAGCAATGTAAGTAGCAGCTTTTAGCCTGCTATATAGATAGCTTAAACTTTTACATAATTTCTTATAAACTATTGAAAAAACAATACTATCTCTCCCTGCTCTTAGTATACTAAGGCTGCTGGTTTACCACAGTAGACATAAACCTCCTGGTTTTACCATGGACTCTATTAATGGACATGGAAAAGGCAGTGCAACTTTCCCTCCAACTTCCTATCTGTGATGCTCGACCATTAAGACTGGAGAAGCGCATTCTAGCTTCATGTTTTTCTTTTCTCTCTCTCTCTTGCCTCAGTCCATTTTACCAGGACCAGACGTGTTCAGCAAGCGTGTGTTATGTTCAAGGAGAAGCTGTGCTACACCTCGCAAACTGCAAAGCAGCATAAGGCACCCGGAGCTTCTAGATCCAGGTAAGAGGCAGGAATGAGGCTTAAGTCCATGTGCTGTTTTGGAATTCAAAATTAATCGCAACTCTTACTCATTTCAACTCCCCCACACCAATGAATGAAGGATAGTCAATTACATTCAATTAATGCCTTTTAGAATTAGTGTAATTTGTTCTAGTAGAGATAACAGTCCAGATGTTTTTGCAAACATGCACTTATGGCTAGCTATAAAACATTTTGATGCTGTTTACTTACACAGCATGGAGGAGACTGTACCTTTAATTATCTTATTGCCACAAACCTTTGAAGTTGGGAATCAGTTCAGTCTCAATCTGTGGTTAACATTTTTATATGCTTTTTAAATTGTTGCAATTCTTGTTTATCAATGGATTATTAATTAAACATGGAAGAGAATTCTCCCACTGAGGAGGCCTCAGTCTTTGCAAGAGTTTCTGTAGACTAGGCTTGATGGGCTCTTTTAAAGTACACTTCACTATTAAACTACCTGTGGTACAGTATATATGACCTTAGTCTGTACAGAGTTAAGGCACCAAATACAAGATAAAACAACATTCAAAATAAGAAATTTACTTTAGAACTGCACAGCTCCACGTACTGCTCTTGGACACTTGGCTCCTCTTAAACATCAAGGTAACCATGTGGTCTGGGTGTTTCATGCAGCCCCAGGAATTGGAGAAAAAACACCACTTTACTGAATTTATATCTTACACTATGATGAACTTTTCTCTTACAAAACTCACAGAGCTACTTTTAAGTAAGGCATTGCATTGCCTACACACTATCAGACAGGCCTAGCAAAAACCACCCTTTCCTCCTAGAAGACCAGAGGAACTGGCCTATGTGTCCTACTTGTACTTTTGTATTACCTCAGACATCAGCTACAGACAAACAACTGAATCGGTCCCATTTCTATGAGCAGAATGGGAAAAAGGAAGATGTTTCAGAAGCACTAGAAAACCTGGACATAAACAGGTATGAATTTAGATGACACAGATAAAGCTAAGGAGACATAACTTCTGGGGTTACATAATAAAACAGCATTGATGACAATTATCAAATGCTTAATTACTAACTTAAGTGGTTAATGTTCTAGAGAAAGTACAGGTGAGAACTGCTGCCGCAGTCCATAGGCATAGGACTTCAGTGCTGAGTCTCTCCAGTGAATTGCTCTAGAATGACTATAACAGAATTTCTACTTTACAGTAAGGATCAGATTCACAGCAAACTAGATGTGCTAAAACAAGAATGAAACCAATGAGCTGTTAGACAGGCTGTCTCATATGCTATAGATAGCAGATGCAACTACAATATCCCTTTGCTTTGCTTTAAACAAGTCAATAAGTATCTCATTTTTCAATAGATTTATTCAGCAGGAAGCCCAAGAGAGTCTGCATCCTGAACATTCAAGCTGAGTTACTGTTTCTTAAGACAGTACAACCGTTCTTAACAGAACTCCTCAGTGAGTCCAGCAGAGAGCTCATTTTCATTCTTTTAATGCCAGAGAGGAGAGGTCTTAGCTTCACGACTGAGAACAACAGTCTGACCTTCATATTTACATATCTCATCACGTACTAGAAGAATCCACGGCAGCAGAGTTCTTGTGCTGTTTCCCAGAGCCACCGGAAATAGTAGCTGTTTTTGTAAGCTGCTTCTGTGACTTGGAACTCCTCTGAAGCGGGGACATTTTTTTTCCTTGATTAAGTAACAGGCAGCTGTCTACAGAGAATTTACTTAAAAGCAAGAAGTTCTGATACTGAATGATTGTATCTTAAGTCTACCAAGCAAAGGAGGAGAGAGAAGCTTACAATTTTGACTGAGTAAAGACTGAAATACTGTATTGTCTGCTTGCTCTTCATTTATACAGTTCTGGAGGGATGTTCAGGAATCCTGGGTCTAGACTGTGATGATCTACAGGCTCTCAGAAGGTTAGATGCTGAATTACAAATGAAGCAGGGGACAGTGTTTCTTTCAGGGGATCAGGGACTGCCAGGCTCATTCCAGGGACGTTGCTGGCACTGGATCAGGGATGGTATGTTAAAGCTGCTCAAATTTATTGCTATCTTGGAGTTTTAGAAGAAATGCCAAGAGATTGCTGTCCCATAGTTGAATGGCCGAAGAGGAGATGTTTTTCCTTTCCTTAGACCACTTGAAAAGTCTTCGTTATCACTCTCCCCATAATTTTCTACTTACTAATAACACAAGGAACTTGTAGTCACGGAAATCTTTCTCAATAGTTCAATGAAAGCAAAAAGCCTTGAGTAATTTTAGATTTGTGCACTTTCCCCAATTAAATTATTTCAGTGGCTAGCGGGCATAGTCTTTTGTTGAGTAAGACACACATAAAATCTTTTTTCCTACCAGAACGCAAGTGTTCTCAGAGAAAGAATCCTAGTCTCCTGAGATCAGAGATACCAGAGTAGTTTTCACAGATCTTTGTAAATGAGTAGAAATAGTCCCTTGGCACATGAATAAGTTGAAATATTTGCAGAAAAAACTTGTTTCTCTGAAGGTCTTCATAGGCTGATTAAAAGTTTTTTAGAATCTAGAAACCTGTATGTAACGATTCCATAATTTGAGAGAATCGGTTATTTACTGGGATGCTAGAAGGGGATCAGAAAAGGCAGGGAAAGAGGACAGAAGCAAAGGTATTTAACTGCAGTGAAAGTCACGGCAGTGGGTTTACAGCACATTAAGTGGGAGCCATGACAATTGCTGAATCATCTAATTAGCTCACATTGGCTACATGACAGCAAATTAGACAGATTAGGAACCACCTACCCAGGCACTAAATTGCCTTTGTGAGGGTTGGATTGTGCACTGTGTCCAACAGAAATTGCTTGGGCAACAGAGGCCGTGTGTTACACATTCCCGTCACGAGTACAGGCTGGCTTCCCTCCATCCAGCTGGCACACTGCCCAGGAAGAAGGTGACCATGTTCCAGGGCCTGAATGTGTGCTTCAGGAGGACATGATGGCAGGAGGCATCACGTAGCATCCCTTCAGCTAGCCAAGCCCGCCAGCCAGTTAAAGCTGCCTCTAGCTAGAACATGCCTGCAGAAATCTCATGTGGCTGGCAAAGTGAGAGTGAAGCCCCGCTTTGTTAAATACCTTTTTTCTTCAATATTCACAGTTGTGTATCTGGGAAAATGACAAGCATTCCAGCTGCCACTTGCCTCTCAGGAGGAAGAATGTGGAGGTATGGTGAGCAGTACACAGTACTTAAGGGTTTCCAGCTGTAGAGACTGCTGCTTAAAACTCGAGTTCTTTGACCACTGCAGCTGGTGGAATGGAGGTGCCAACTCCTTGCAGAGCTGTGTGCTTTTGGAGAGAAGCTGCCAGCTGATTTATATCATAGGTGTGATAACACCAGGCATCTCCTGAAGTCACACGCTGACAAATTGCTAAACAATACTTCTGCCTGGCTTTCACCTATTTCAAAACAAAGGAAAACACTGCTCCTAGAATACATGGCCTCACAGCAAGGTCATGTCAATGCTGTGCTTAACAGCAGTGCTACAACTGTGGAAGGACTCAACTGGGATGAAATTCTCTGAAGGGCAGATGGGCCAGAGAGAACTGCTGTCCTGCACGGGCCCCTCAGTCACCAGTCAGACCACAGCAGGCTGGTTCTACACACATTTCTCCCTCGGGGGCCCCATGAAACCCAAACTAATAGAAAGGTACCTGCCTGATGATACGGGTTTGTAGGCAAGTGCAGCTAACAGCAAACAAATGCTGTTGTGACAGAGGAACAGTCTATATTTTGATCTCCCCCTTCTGCAAATAGCCTCATTTTCCTGAGCATTAACCCAGCAGACTGCTGAAGCTCACAGTTGTTTCTCCAAAGTGAACGGTAACGCCATTCACCTCCTGTGCAGATAACACATTAAACAGGTCCATTCTTTATTGTAAAGCTCTGGCTTCTTTTCATCCTTTGAGTGCCAGACACCATCTCCCAAAATACACACTATCATCTGGTTAGCTATAACTGGAGTTAAGGTGGGTAGCGTACAGGCACAGACTTTCCCTGGTGTCCTATTTATATATGCACTAATTGAAAGGAACTCTTCCAGAATTCCTTCCCATGGACCAGAAATTCAAACTGTCAGATAACATTTCTGCTTCGCTGAAAAGGTACTACAGAATAGGCAACGGTACTAGCAGCTGCACAAAGCGTACGGAACCAGGTTTATATATTTGGCTGTTGGGTACATCCAGAAATACAAAGCTCAGAAGCTGTAAACCAGACCTCTAGTCTCACAGAAAAGGCACTTCAGACCATGCTCCTGTGAGGAGGTTTTTAAAAGGAAACCTGCAAGTATTATGCAAAAGAAAGGAGTTTCTAGTTCTGCCTTAGCAAAACAGTGCTTGTTGCAATGTTGATCAAGCAGATGTTACCCAAATTACTAATCGGATAATAACCCAGTACTTCAGTTAGGCTAACACCTACTGTTAGAATTTAACTGCTCTCTCCAGTGCCAATATGTTAGGCACTTACAGAGCCTACACCCATCACACTTCAGTACAGGGGAATGCTTTGCTCAAGTACCACTGTCAATGAGGTTC